CTACTTCTTTAAAGCTATCTCATGAGGGTCACTGAATTATTCCTAGATTTTGTTATCGTCCAGTTATTATACCTAACTACCTAACTTATATTCTATTCTATATTTTTTTACTTGTAATCATGTGCCAGTGCAAGCAAAGGGCTTTGCAGCTTAGAATATACTTGAAAATAAGTGTCCCCATATTAAAAACAATCGAATATCTGAAGCAACATTCAAAAATTGATTAAATATGTAATGAAGTAGTGGATGAGTTGAACCAGCTCACACAAATTCGCATGGAATAAAATTATTTTCATTTCGACAACTGTTTCACAAACAGTATGAAGGTACGTCAATGGGCAACTTGTTGTCTCCTCTCGTGGCTACACAAATAAGAAGATAGAGGATTTCTTGACTTGTCTCAATATCATATCTCAAATATCTCAAAATGTGAAGTTCACGTATGGAATTGAAGAAAATGAAGAGTTACTATTCTTGGATGTTATAGTTAGTTATGAGAAACACCATCAAGGGTTTAGAATTCGATGTACATATAAGAAGGATACCAGTACTTTCACATATATCCTTGACAGCTCCCACTGTTGCTCATAATGGCTGGTTAGTTTCCTTTAGGCAGAAAATATATGATATCAAGAAAAATATTATCAAAGAGTAACGACTTTAAAAAAAAATTAAGACTCAAAATTTGTAATTTTTTTATGAGAACCATGAATTGAACGTGGAAGTGGCTTTTAAATTTGCTTGTGAATTTCAACAAGTGTTGAGCAACGAAGACAAGACGTATACAGTGAGTTTCAAAAAGTTTGCGCCATATGGTGAATTTTTTTATTATCCATCTGTCAGCAAATTTTATTCGTGATAAAAATGGGTGCATTACGGGAAACTTAGATTTGAGTTGTCAGAATTCTGAATTTTCGAACGGTGTACAGGGGAGAACGAAAAATAGAAATTTTGATCATGGTTAAACTACACTCATTTTCAACATTATCAAAATAGTTTATTGAAAAATCCATTTTTTATGATTCTAACCTCATGAAGAGTACTAGTATCTCCCTCATATCCCTCGTATTATTAAAATAACATTTCTATGTGAAATTCAGTTCAGTTTTGATTCAGACTTGGAGAATCGATTTTTGTTGAAAATGGTTTGAATTTTCACTAGTTTTTTGGTGCAAAACTGATATTTCACTCTGTATGTATGTATATATGAATGTTCAGTAATAATACATTTAGTCAATTATTTCTTGTCATTGAATTGTACTGATAGTTATTATGGAGTGGTGGACATGTAATCAGGACTTGCTTAATGCCTGGCTGCAGTTCAGAAAATCACTACTGAGATTGGTTTCTGTAGTACTACTACTCGCTTCAATATCCCAGAGTTCCTTAGCCAGCGATACTAGTCGATTTTCAACAGCATTTGGTGTAACTGAATGTTCGGAAATGAAAGGTCCACACCCCAAATCGGTACGACTAATCAGCCTTACATTCTTCCTGCTAAAAGGACTTGAGAGGACACTGGACGGACATATCAGGAGGATAGCATTATATGCATCCCCACCGAATAACCAACAGTCTGCTTATCAAACCGGCAAATCGACAGATTCAGCATTAAACAACCTCGTTGAGAAAATCTCCCAATCCCTTGAAAACAAGTAGATTGCTGTATTTCTTGATATTGAAGGAGCATTTGATAATGCACTACCTAAATCTATAGGATTGTCTCTGGCTAGAAAGGGTATAGAATCGACCATAACTGGCTGGATCTATGCCATGCTAGTAAACAGAACTGCAATTACGACTCTTCAAGGCGAGGCTATCAGGTTCAGGGTCACCAGGGGCTGCCCTCAAGGTGGGGTTCTATCTCCCCTTCTGTAGTCGCTCCTGGTGGATAGTCTGCTTGAAGCCCTCGACGGAAGAAAAGTTGATCTGCAAGCTTATACAGATGACCTTGTCATCCTGTCGAAGTCCACGTCGGGGAAGGTAGCTTGTAATATCCTCCAAAGCGCGTTGGATGTTGTTCACAGTTGGTGCCTGAGGGAGCAGATGTCTGTCAACCCCAGCAAAACTGTGTTAATCCTCTTCACCAAGAGGAGGGAATTGGACGATCTAACGCCACTTTCCCGCAATGGTGTGGTCATTCCATTTGGAACGGAGGTGAAATATCTTGGCATTGTCCTTGATGGAAGACTCTCCTGGAACGCTCACTTGGAAAAAGTTTCACACAAAGCCAGACTGTCTCTATGGACATGTCGAAGGATTTGTGGTAAAACTTGGAGTTCAGGTCCCGAACAAAGCCATTGAATTTATGTGATGATTGTCAGACCAATAATCACGTATGGTGCAATTGCTTGGTAGCCGAAGGCTTTACAGAAAACGGCCCAAGCGAAGCTCTCTGGCTTACAGAGACAGGCTTGTCTGGCTATCAGTGGTGCCATCAGTACCACACCATCAGCGACCATGGAGATCCTTCTAGATCTACCTTCTCTCCACATTTTTCTGGAAAGAGAGGCTAGATAGACTGCATACAGACTTGTGCACATTGTCAATTTCAAAAATCAATTCAATGCGGAGTGTTGGTTGACATTGGAAGTCACAGCATTCTGGTAATGACCTCTGACTTTATGCCTTCAACTGTCAACTACGAACTGCCTTATAAAGTACTATTTCCGAGTAGAGAGGACTGGATCCTGCGGGAGAAGGAAACATTAAGAGCAGATAGAAGTTGGTTCACAGATGGATCAAAAACACCTTTCGGTTCTGGTGCAGGTGTTTTCAGTCGCAGACCCAGGACAGAGTTATCTACCTGTCTAGGAACTTATGCGACTGTATTTCAAGCAGAAATTTACGCTATTGAATTGTTTGTGGAGAGATTGGATAAATCCAACCTCACTCACAAGTCAATAAAAATATTCTCGGACAGTCAAGCGGCGTTGGAAGCTCTTAGCTCCCACCGAGCAACGTCTAAATTGGTAGCAAACTGCCAAAAAAGACTCTCCTCGAAAGAAAGACTAAACAGATTGTCTCTGGTCTGGATTCCTGGCCATACTGGCCTGGAAGGCAATGAAGCTGCTGACTCACTTGCAAAGGAGGGTGCTGCAAGCGGCTTCATTGGACCAGAATCTGCCCTTGGCATCGCTTTGGGCTTTGCCAAACAAACACTTAACACCTGGATGACAAGAAGAGTTATGGACTTCTGGCAGAATCTTCCAGGATTGGCTCACTCCAAAGCGTTTATTCACCCTTCTAAGCTTGATTCCAAACAGTTGTTGGACTACAGTAGGGATGAACTACGATGTCTAACAGGGCTTCTTACAGGTCACTGTCATTCGAATCATCACATGCAGAGATTTGGACTGTCGAAAGACAGTGTGTGTCGCCTCTGTCTGGAAACTGATGAAACTGTAGAGCATATACTTTGTGCCTGCTCCGCTGGGGACCGAATCAGGTTCTTTGAGTTCTGCAGATCCGTACTCTCACCATCTGAACTGAAAGATCGTTAAGAAGCTGGGTTTATGTGGCCGAGTGTGAATAGGTGTGAGCCATAATAAGTCCTTATGGGTTGCGCTGGAGGGTAGAATAGACCCACTAACTTCAGACCTACCTACCTACCATTATGCTCTGATATTAAGAATTTTTTTTACGTTTTTGTCTAACCGTTTTAAATTACTATATATTTATGTCTACAACACTTGAATGTTCAAATGATTCATAAGTTAATGTGTAAATAACCTTCTGCCGAGTTTTTATGAACATTGTTTGTGTATAGATGCTTTTTGTATGAACTTATTATATCCATAAATTTTTTTCTGTGGTTCAGTAACCTTATCTTCGAGTCAATCAATTTTTAATGCTGCAGTAGGCAATTCATTTCGTGTTCAGATTTTACTACTTCCTAGAGAGAACTTTCGTGTTCCTCTTCAAATGTTTGTATACAATCATCTTCGTCCGAGCTGTCCTTACTCAAATCATATATTTTTTTTCTGGTGAACTGATTTCTCCTTGGTCTATATCTGAACTTAGAGTCATCGTTACAACAAACTATGGTTTTACTACACAAATATGGAATTTGATTCTTTTTTCTCGCCAAACAACTCTTGTGATGTATACCCAAACAGGTTTTGCATACATAGTAACTGAGTAACTCAGATGTGCAACAGTCAAAAGACATATTTGTTGAGGTTTACGAATATCGACTTACTTGCTTGAACAGTACGTTAATTATCAGACCTCATATACGTTTGCTGAAATAGGGGTGCTCACAGGTAGTAAATAACCAATTGAAAATGACAAATTGATTCTCTGACCATATTTTACAAGGCAACGATTCGTGAAGATGCCTATGAAAACAGTAACATAGCTTGTAAGGGGTAGTTATATGCATCTCTTGATGTTGCTAAATTAGTTAGTGAAACGCTAGTTGAGAGAGAACATTTTTGTCCCGTTGAAGCAAAAGTCCTTTCAACAATTTTATTTGATGCCAGAGGTTACGAATTCTAGTTATCAAGCAAATTCACGTTTTGAATAATGAATTGTTCACTGAAACAGTGCAGGTTGAGAATATGAGAAGATATATAGAGACCACTTTTATTGGCCTCGACAATTTCTTTAAAAAGGTCATTATGTTTTTCATGATGTGTTTGTTTTGAATAATAACTTTCCGCAATACGATGAGAACACATCTTGCATTGCCTCATATGCAATACTAATAATGAGAGCATTCGGAACTTATTTCAAGTCAGAATTTGCTTGTGGTTCAATTGTTGATACCTGTATCAGGATAAGTATAGAAGCACAGTTTCCACATCGAACACTATTTTCTCATTGAAATTTCTCTTCACCTAATCCCTACAAAACATTATGAAAATAAATAAAAAAATTGAAAATAGTAGTGAATTCAAAGAATACTTTGATCAATAATATCCGATGTATGTAATTCAACATACAAACGTAATTTTAATTACAGTGGTATGAACAATATGTTTTGAATGGTTACTCACCTATTAGTTTCGAAGACGTAACTTGGCCTTTTCATAACAAGCAACCTTGGCAGAATATGAATGAACACTCTTTTAACCCACGGCGACATTCTATGAGTTTGTGAAGATCGAAAATGTACGTTAAGTACCACAACTGTCACGCAAATGCTGAAACAAAAAAGAATTATATTCGTCATTTCCATCATATTTTCAATTGAGTTAGCTGTGCTCGTTGTTGATATTTATGAAATATTGATTACTGGTAGGAAGAGTATTTTTGATCATATCAAACTTTCGATGATATAATAGATCACGAAGAAGTAACACTTCAAATTATTTCTGACTAGGCAGCTATCACAGCAGTCGCAGGACATAATTTTCGATACTTAACTGGCAGAGTTATGGTTGAAACCCGTTCGATAAAAAGCCTACATCGAAGTCACATAAACCACTTTACCCTTGAGGCTAGTTGAAGATCAGCCATTACGTGGAATCTTCTTCAACAATATTGAGGACGAATATTACTGGAGTTATATTACAATAACAAACCCTTATTTTCATCACCTTGACATGAGTTCCAATCACTAAGTGATCATATTCAAGAGGAAGATTAATTTTCCACTTGAAGATGATCTCTTGGTGATTGAAACACGTGTTGAGATGTTGAAAATAATGATTTGGTGTTGGGATAAAACTCCAGTAATACTCATTACTACACCAAACGTTTCAAACAGTGCATCACAGGTATATATTGAGGACCTTGTTCCATCAAGTCACACAACCTCCTGACCTTCACCTTTTTTAGGTCATGGGAGCTGCAGTCGGAAACTGAGAAATTCGTCATGACTGTTCAGCATATGCAGTCTCAACATATGGTTGGTTCACTTCAACTTTTCGCAGTCCTACTGTATTGATGAGACATTACTGTGAAATACAGTGAATCCATTGCCAAGAATGAGAAGCAGCGAATTCATTTAATATTTTTTTTCAGTTCTGGGTAGGACTAATATCATCAAAAAATTGAATAAAAATCAACAAATCACTGAAATATCGTCTCCGAACTCCGCAGACTTTATCCAGACGACCACTGTGTACAATAAAGTGCTTCAATTAATTGTAAGGGGCTTCGTAAACAGAATATTAATTTTTTCTATCAAACAACCCAATTTTGTGACATTTCAGTGAACTCAGATTTTTTTGCAAACGGAAAGCGTTTCCGAGTTTATAACATTTCGCTACAATAGCAAAAGTTAGTGGCAAATTCTGTAAACGAATATGTAAAGCATGTACCGCATTATATCAACAACGTATGTCGATTACAAACGCATTCAGGTACGAGTATGTAGATAACTCAGTGATAGGATTACCGCGAAACGTTCAAAACATTGGTGTATTCCATGGCTGTGGTTCGCCACATTTTATTTATTGTGGAGGATTGTGTGAATATTATCAGCTATCAAAAATGCATGATTCCATAATTATAGATGCTCATAGAAATTTAATGAGTTGTTCAATCCATTTTAGTTGAATTGAAAATATTGATATAATATTGATTACATTTTGATGGTTCATTCGCGAGTTAATGAAAACGTTATGATAATGTAAAGCATTATATTGTGAAATTAGTTTATAATCCAGAATATTTCATGAGTGATTTTTGGCGGACGTTCGAACGCAGTAAGTGTGCGCAGAAATGCCATAATCTCCCGTTCCGTTTGCTTTCTAAGAAAGTGCATTGAGTATTAATTCAACTTATTAATGACAGTTTATGAGAACACACTCAATAATGCTGAATGAATAATTTCCTGTTGGTTATTCAAAACAGAAATTGAATGTTTGCGTTTATTGATTTCCAGAGATTCCAACGAATGTCATTTTTGTCCTTTATATTTTACATAGGTATAATATGTCGTAGTACATGTTGAAATCGTGGTAATTTCCTGAACTGAAGGGTGACAAGCATAGGTGGTCCTTCTCATATGAACTTTTGGGCATGATATACATGTTTGTAGGCCCCTGATTCGTTACCTTTGTTCCTTTTTGGCTTGTTGTTCTTTATATGTCTACCCAAGGAGTTACCAGTCTATTTCAATGTTCTCTTTTGTTACTCGTAGTAGTTTCCATCCGAGGATTTTTCTGTATTTATGTGTTTCGTAGGTGTTTGTGTTAGTTTCAATAAGGGGGTATACTTGGTTGATTGCCTGTTTGAGAAAATTTTTGTTGAAAATGTGATGGATAGTTGTCTACTTTTTTATCGAATTTAATTCCTCAATAAAATTTCTGAGTTTGTCGATCATGCTGTGAGGGTGAATAGAATGGTTGTTGATAGTTGTGTATGGTTTGGTTTATAGTAAATTTTTAAATCATATTTGTTGATGATTTTTGTAATTGTGAGGTCTAAAAAGTGTATCTGTTTATATTTTGAATTTTATGTTTCCGTGAGTAGAATTGACGTATTGATTGGAATTAACAACAGAACTAGAAACACGAAAATTTTTCAAATAGGTCAATAAACAAGTATACCCAAATATTGAAAAACTCACATCTACAAAAAACTCACACATACAGGAAAATCATCGGATAGGATAAAAATACTACTAACAAAAGAGAACATCAGCATAGAATATAACTCCTCTGATAGTATATATATACAGTTAGTTTCCAAAATTATCGCTGGTGGTCCAACAATAATCCAAATTTCATAATAGAATACCGTGACCAATATTCACTCAAAACAAATGTGAGTTGTGGGTTATTAGATAACCAAATAGAATTAGTTGTCTGAATTTTATTAGTTCGGACTTCCATTGTCTAATATTATATAAAATGATTTGAAATCCCTGAAAGATCTAATGAAAAAGAAAAATTAGAAAAGAATAACAATTATATTAGACAGAATTACCTGAAATGAAATATCAGTGAAATGAAATACAAGTAAAAAATAGAACAATTGAACAAAAAATAAAAATAAAAAATCAAGATGACTTCGGGTCATCAACCGAAGACGATTGTAGATATTGAATATTACTGGAGTTTTTTTCCCCAACACCATCTTGACACGTATTTCGATCACCAAGTGATCATCTTCAAGAGGTAGATCAAACTAATCGTACTTACAAAGCTATCCTCATTTATACCATACAGATATACCATACATAGATATAGGTATCTATCTGTTCTAGGTACCTGCGTCTCGAGTGTCTGGAATTAATTCCACAATTTGCCTTATCTACTTGTCTCAAATTAATTTTTCAATGTGTCCTTATGTAATAGTCAAGTAAATCTAATAATTGAAATATTGTAAGCTATATAAAATCAATTTCTCATATTGCCTTATCTACTAGCCTTGAATTAATTTTACAATTATGTGAGAGCGGATTGAAAACCATTATTAACTCTTGAAATATTCAAATCCGCGTTTAGGTCAATGATACACAGAGCTTTCGCAATCCCTTTACCAGAAAAGAATTTCCAAGACGAAATAAAAATAATTAAGCAAATTGCAGTGAACAATCAGGTACCAATTTTCCTAATAGAAAAAGTAATATCAGGTAAAACTCACAAAACACTTATGAGTAAATTATACCCAAACTGCCGATAACACAATATAGTCAAGTACAGTAATATCAATTACTCAGGTAAACCCTCAGAAAATATTCAAAATTATTTCTCTAAATACAATATATCAACATTTCTCACAAGTAATGATAATTTAGGTAGAGCCCTGTTTAAAGCAAAACCCAAACGGGATAGAATAAAAAAATCAGGTATATAGAATAGAGTGTGGCGAATGCTCTGCAGTATAATCTGACGATTTCGATCTGANTGTACGGTTGATCTCAAGATTTGTGCTGTATAAACGAACTAATTTGTACAGCACGATCAAATAAACGACCTACAAGAAACATTCAGATTTCAGCTAAAATGTGTGCTTGTTTATATAATTCGATGAAAAAGGACAGTCGTACGTAATTTTTTATTTTAGTACATATTATGAAAAAAATACTCACAAACAATGCAAGTTGAAAGCAATTGAAAAGCATGCAGTTCACCCAGTACATATTGGTCATGTATTACCATTTGAAACGGGTGAAAAGAAAAGTTAATTTTCATTTGTTATTATTATTTGTGATAGAAACTGGACGCAGTCAAAAGAGCAAGCACGCCTTTTTGTATCACCTACAAGAACAGTCAATGATAGAGGCTCAGCTTTTGATTCTGCCAGTTTTAGAATTTTTTGCGGAAATTATAGAATCAAACATATTTTGAATGCTGTTGCTACTCCAAGAAGTACTAAGCAATGTGAACGTTACAATCAAACAATAGTAAATGCGCTACTGTTTTCGGAAAAGACATAGGGTCTTTTCCGGATTGGGTTTACATATAAAACAAATTGAGTGTGCAACAAATACTACACAAAATGAAGAATCAATGCTACACCAATAGAAGCATTGACTGGATTCAGTCCAACTTATGGAATGGAGGTGAAAATATCAAATAGTGAGAGATATTCAATTGACCGCCTGGATCTCAATCACCTTCGGAATAAAATCTCGGAATATATAACAGAAGATCAACGATTGCTAAAACAACGATATAATCGACTGAAACGTAATGCAATAAAGTATTACGTGGGTGATTTGATTATGGATTAAATAACAAGTTTTGAAGCCACAGGTGGGAACGATAAACTCAATGCAGAATATAAAGTTCCTTTTGAAGTTATGAAAGTTCTGACCAATGACCATTACGAAGTGGACGATCTCAGATAATGTTATAAATGCTTGCGAACAGTTATGTCTCCAAGTCATTTCAAGAAATGGATAAGCATATAAGGTGATCAAAAGTAGGTTGTACATACGTTACTGTGTGAATAGAAAAGGTAAACGTTACCTTTGGTGGACGTCGCCATCGAGCAATCGTTGCTATGTAAGTGGAACAGGTAAACGTAGTCTTTGGTGAACGTCACCATTGAGCAAACGTTGCTCTGCAATAGGAAAAAGTAAACGTTACCTTTGGTGAACGTCACCATTAAACAAAAGTTGTTCTGTAAGTAGAGAAGGTGAACGTTACCTTGAGTGAACGTTACCATTGAACAAACGTTGCTCTGTTGAATTGTTTCAATTAATAATAATTTTCTGTTCGCAGGTCAGGAAAAGGTCTGAGGG